ACCCACTTAGGAAGTCCCCAGTGGAGTCGCCAACTGTCGCGCCCCACTTTTCGATTCGAGTGAATGTGAGTGATGAAGTGTGGTGTGAATGTGTGCAAAATGGAAAGTAAAAAGGCCATGGGACTTTGGAAAGCGACGATTTGGCCAAATGAAATTTTAAAAAGGGTTTTTAAATATGAAAACGGAGTCGCCACTTGGTATAGATTTGGGGTGTACCAAGTCACCCAAAAAGTGTTTTTTAAAGACAAAGTAGTAAAACCCTTTTTAAAACGACTCCTAGTCCACGTAAGCCAAAGAAAAAGGTTCGGGGGTCACGTTTGACAAAGGGGAAGGCAAGGATAGAATCCAAGGCACCCATTTGACCTAGCCAAGGCTAGTTGCGCGACTTAACCTTACCTTTCCTAATTTTCTACCCAATATATGTTCGCACGTTGGATATGACTATATGAATGCAAAACGGAAAGAAAAATGCAATCCTAAATTCTACGATGTCTCTCGTGAGGCTTTTGGTCCCAAACCACATGAATTGTGGCGGCCAACAAAGGAAAACCCCATAGAGGTCGATTAATGCAAATGAGACTCAAGTGTGCAAGTGTGAAAGTGTATGAAAGAAATTAAAAATCCAAGTGTTTGTGTGCAAGTGTATGAAAAGGTGCACGTGTGTAATTGTATGAAAATTCCAAGTGTTTGTGTGCAAGTGTATGGAATATAGTGATAAGTGCATATAGGTGTAATTAAATGCAATTTTGTGAAGTAGAAATCAAAATGAACAATAAGGAAAGGAAAATGTGAATTGAAAAGAATGAGTGAGTGATAAATGAGAATGAATGAACCTAAGGGAATGCATCAGGTCGGGTATGGGAATGACTCCTAACTTGTCGACTTCGATTTTCCCTTTGATTAGAAGGCAAAACTAGCGTGCTAAGGCTATCGAGTAGCCACACTCGCTCGTTTCCCTTATCAGAAGGGGACCCTCAAGCAAATGGACCCTACAACTATCATGATATGCAAAAATCCTAAAATGAAGGGAAAGGGGGTTCGAGGAGCATGCCAAGTGATAAAACTAAGAAAAAATGCATGATATGTGGTGAACGAGCAAATGATATGCTAATGAGGGGAAATCCCTAAGGGTCTAGCGTTGGACTAGCCCATTCTATGAATTCCGACTAGCGTTGGACTAGCGGAAACGTACATTCATCCATTCCATTCATTCATGGCTATGAAAGCAAGTAGACATGCCAAAATACTCGTAAACACATAGCACATAGCATTTAGCATGCTCGACTAGATGCAAGAGCCTAATAAAGCAATTTAACATGTAACAACAAAAGCAAACAACCAGGGGGAAGGGGAAGTGGACCAGATGCTCTCCGAGCCCTATCTATTACAAGCCAAGAGGTGTACACATACCTCATAATGAATAACTAAAGCAACCAAGGGGAAGGGGAAATGGACCAAATGCTCTTCGAGCCCTATCTATTACAAGCCAAGAGGTGTACACATACCCCATAATGAATAACTTAAATTAAAAAGCCAAAGTAAATGAAATAAATGAAAGGAATTAAAGAAAGGCAAGGAAAGCAACGTAGACATGCATATTCACATAACACGTAGGAGCACGTAGGAAAAATAAAATCAAGGAGATAGAGGTTACCTCCCTTGAGTTGTGAAATGAAAAGAATATTAGCTTCAAAACAATAAAAGGGTCAAGGCACCAATTTATTTGGCAAATAATCACAAATGATAAAAATAAGCATGAATTTGAATCAATTGAATCATGTCAACAACCCACATTTAAGTCAAAAGAAGAAGGGACTTAATTGCAAAAATGAACAAAGTTTTGGGGTCAAAATTAAAGAAAAATAAAGTTCAGGGACCTAATTGCAATTACATTAGGGACCCAATTGAAATGAATGGAAAGATTCCAGGGCCACAGTACAGTTAAGGGAAAATGCAGGGGCTGATTTGCAATTTCGCTTCTGGTTTCTTCATGGACCAGGCTATTGGGCCATTTTATTCACTTCTTGGGCCAAAATCCTCTTAGCACAAATTAGGACCCAAGCAAAACAGACGGGCCAGCCTACTATTTTGGCCCAAAATTAGCCAACCAAACAGATGGATCATGATCCTCTGGCCCAGGCCAAAAAACCAAACAAAAGTGTTGGGCTCTATCTTCCTAAGCCCAAACAAAGTAATCCCTTAATCCAAAACACTTATTTTACTAAACCCAACAAGATAAACAAATTTATCAAGGATGAATCTATCCACAAAGTCACATAAAATATGCAAACAGAAGATTACACTTAAAAGGGTGAATTTAGTTTGACTTTTCCGGATTTTGGGCCACAACGAAATTAGACAGAAAATGAGGGATTAAATTGCAATTTTGAAACTTTTACATGCAAGATTACGCAAAGCTTTCCCTTCTGCAACACACCAGCTGCACCTTTCCTTCTATTTCATCATGCAAATCAGTCCACTAAACACCAGGATTTTAATTCTCAAGTACCCGCTAAATCAAGCACAAAAATCTGGTTGCAGGATTCACACAAAACCTGAACTTGACCGAAAGGAAAAGAAAGAAAAAGGCAGCAAAGTTTTCTGCAACTACACAAACAAAGCATGCAGCCTTTCGTTTCCCAGCTTGCTGCAAATTTCATGCACAAGGTCTCGCGATTCCAGCAAAGCAGATTCATCCAATTACTTTAATTAAACATGGCTGAATATCCGTTGACAATACAAAGAATTGGAAGAACTTCATGCAAAGTTTCATGCAAATGCTACAGAAAACAAAACATTCTGCAAACTGGAGTTATTATTCTGCAACTTTTACTCATTCGGCTGAGGCAAACATTCAAGCCAGAGACTCATGAGCATCTTCACTCATTCAAACACAAAGCACAGAGATTTACAATAAAACTAGAAAACAATCTAACAGGCTTCAGGACACCCAAATGCAACAAGATGAGCTAGAAAACACGCTAGCATAGCTGTTGCAATAACCTGCTTGCTTTAAGTGGATTGCAGCAGATTTTATACTCAAAACTCAGTCCAATAGAAATATAAAAAAAAACCTCCTTCAAATGCAGATAACAGACACAAAACCGCAGGCACTAGATAGAGCATTGTAAAAACAAAACAGATTCGGACTGCAAAAAACCAGTGAAGTGCGAGAAACAGTGAGAATCCTCTTTTCATTCCATGCACTTGAATGGTCAGTGGCTCAAATGATGAAACAATCATCAACCTGATAATGGACTTCAATACAAACATGAATAAAAGTCATGCAAAATCAGGAAGGCTTTCCACTTCTACTCGTGGCGACTGGCGAAGCTCTAAGCTTCAGCAGCTTTACCCGAAAGATGCAGTCATGAGTTTGGACAAGCAAGAAGACAGCTCTAGGTGAATGCATGCATAGTATACCCATTAAACAAACATTTCAAATGAATCCTGAACCAGCACAAAACTCCAACATTTGCACAGGTCAAGACAGATTCGAAAAGGAAATGGAGCAGGCCACTTTTCTTCACAACCTATTCAGTAAACGGACAGACCAAGTAAATGCTTTTGTATCTTTTCAAAACTGGAATCTCGCATACTAAACCAAAGCCTAAGGACAAAATACAATCAGCACCAAACAAGATTTCAGACCTCCATCATACGCGATAACAACAAAAAGGCAATATCTTTGAGTCATGAAAGATCAATCCCGGGTGACATCCGTTTCATTCTTTATGACAGGAAAGAAATGCAAAAGCTGATAGCTTTAGTTGATGCATTCTCAATCAAACACGTTCAAAACACGACTATTAAAATTATGCCAACCAACGGTGCATTCTGCAGGCGAACAATGCATTCTAATGGCCCAGCTACTAGTCATGCTAATCAAACAAGAAAACCACGTCTAATTTTAGAAGAAACAGAACAAAAATAAGGTTTAAGACTACCTCTTTTCTGTCTTTTGGAATCAAACCAACGTGGATATGCTGGGATGAGCAAAAATTTACAGAATCCGGCTCGCAAACTCTGATGGAGGGCTGTGAAGCTCCAATCTTTAGGTCCGTAGCCTCCTCCCTCTCTCTAGTAGCCTTCCTTTTGTATTCTTTCTCTAACTCAGCCGTCACTAGCTATCTTCAAAAACCCTCGGCCAAAACCTTACTCTCTCTCTCTCTATTCCTCTCTCAAGCTCCCTTCTTTTGAAAAACTTCCTCTCTTTTCTGTTTTCTTCTCCCCCGACCCCCAGCTTTCTTTTCTCTCTGATTTTTCTTTCTCTTTGCCGTCCCTCTCTTCACTCCCGTCTCTCGTTCTTTGTCATGGAGTATGAAGAATAAACAGGAGGCGTGTTCCAGATTGCATTGAAGGCGCAGCTGCTCAACTTGATGAAGAAAGGCGTGACTTACAAATCACGCCTTCTACCTGATATAACAGAATTATACTTCTGTTTGGCGCAAGTGGAGCTGATGATTCCAGAACTTCCACGTGGCCTCACCTGATTAGCTAGTTTACAAGTTAGTTAGTCTGGAAATGCCATAAAAGGCTGAAGAATCCGAGAGTTAGCATAGATTTTTGTCATATTATTTCCATTGTTTGTAAAGTGGAATTGGCCCTGCCAACTTCCTCCTCTCTTCTCTCTTAATTCCTTCAATCTTTCCCTTTCAATCCTAAATCCGTTGATTCTGTTCCTGTATTTGACATACCTATTGTTAATGAGAAGTTGAAGCTCCAATAATCATCTCCATTCCCTGTTCCATTCAAATTCGTCAGGAGTTAATTCACTTCTGCTGCAACTAATCTGTCACCATTGCTGCTAATTGGTTCAATACCATAACAGTGGTATCAGAGCAGCTACGGTCCGTCTGGGTTTGGCTGCTTGATTAGAAATCTTTCCTCCTAATTTTTCCTTCACTTCTGATTCACCTTCATCCCTATCCATCTTCATCTCTTTTCTGACCAATCAATATATATATATATATATGAAGACCCTTGAAGAAATCTCTAAAATGCTGAATTACTTCCTGGTAGAGCATAATAAGCCTAAACAAGCAACTAACGTAGTAGAGTACTATGAGGAATTTGAAGAGTGGAGAAACGAGATGTTGGCTTTGAAACCAGAACTCAGTGAGGAATACTTTATTGATGGTTTTAACTTTGGGCTTGATTGGAATATCCAGATGAAGCTAAAGAGATTTAGGAGTCCACCCAAGATCTTGTATGAAGCATATCTCCGAGCAAAAATCGAGGAAGCCGTGATGGAGAAGCATGATTCTGCTCTTGATTCACCAAAAGGAGAGCAGCTTATGAAAGAAAATGAGGGTGTAGAGGCTGAACACAATGATATAATCACTAACTTGAAGGATGAAAGTGTAGTCAGCCACATGTTTGATGGGTTGTGCCAAAGGACTCCAATGGATTTTTTAGAGGAGAACCAACATAAAACATCAGCAAGGGAATATCAAGAAGAAAAAGCTAAAAACCAAGTGTGTGATAGATTGGCTCACAACGATTGTGTTATCTCTCAAGGGCTTAGCTATGAATTGCTTACAGGGGAGCTAGGTTGGCAACAAGGCTCTATAGACAAGGAAATATTTAACTCTGCTTCACCGCTCCACTGTCCCAGAAATTGGTCTTCGGTCAGCCGTGAGGTAAAGCAAAAGTTCATTGAGATTTTATTTAAAAGACCAATCATGATGATCATAGGCTACAGGGCCATTGCCCGGCCTACTTTCTCCCTTGTCATTTGTGACGTGCCTGCCATTTCCTTCTGTAAGCCTCAACTGTATTCTTCTTCCATGAATGGATGTAGATTCATGCGGTTTAGTTGTTCAGTTTCTAGTAGAACCGTTTCATCTACTTCTCTAGACTTATCTTTGTCCAAGGACAATTCTGGTAATGAAGGGCTTCAAAGGCAAAAGGCTTCTTCCTCTTTGTATGCTCATCCTAGTTTGTCACAGATTAGGAGTGAGAAGGCAGCCAATCGAGCCCCTGTTTATGATTTCTTGAGGGGAATTGGTGTTTTCCCTGATGAGCTTGATGGATTGGAGCTCCCTGTCACTGTAGATGTAATGTGCGAACGTGTGGACTTTCTTCACAGATTAGGCCTCACTGTTGAGGATATAAACAATTACCCACTGGTTCTTGGCTACAGTGTCAAGAAAAACATGGTTCCCGTCCTTGATTACCTCGGCAAGTTGGGTGTTAAAAAATCTACGTTTACAGAATTCTTGCGTAGATACCCACAAGTCCTCCATTCTAGTGTTGTTGTCGATCTTGCACCGGTAGTTAAGTATCTTCAAGGAATGGATATCAAGCCAAATGATATTCCTCGGGTTCTGGAGAAGTATCCTGAAGTATTGGGGTTTAAGCTGGAAGGCACCATGAGTACTTTAGTGGCTTACTTGGTTGGAATAGGGGTCGCAAGGAGAGAAATTGGTGGGCTACTAACTAGATACCCCCAAATATTAGGAGTGAGAGTTGGCCGTACAGTCAAACCATTTGTGGATTATCTAGAAAGCTTGGGAATACCACAATTAGCCATAGCTAGACTAATAGAGAAAAGACCTTTTATTCTTGGATTTGGACTTGAAGACAGGATCAAGCCAAATGTTGAGTCCCTTTTAGAGTTCAATGTTAGGAAATCGTTGCTTGCATCTGTCATTGCACAGTATCCTGAAATTATAGGAGTAGATGTTCAAACAAGACTTTGCACTCGAAGGGACTTTCTTAATTCAATCATCCAATTGGATCCTGTTGGTTTTGGGAGAGTTGTAGAGAAGATGCCACAGATTGTCAGCCTCAATAATACTGCCATATTGAAGCATTTGGATTTCCTCAAGGAATGCGGATTTTCCTTGGAACAAGTGAGAAAGATGGTGATGGCCTGTCCCCAACTGCTTGCTCTAAATCTTGATGTCATGAAAGTAAGCTTTGATTACTTCCAGGGAAAAATGGCAAGACCGTTGGATGACTTGGTTTCTTTCCCAGCCTTTTTCACTTATGGTCTTGAGTCAACTATTAAACCAAGACATGCAATGATTGGAAAGAAGGGTTTGAAATGTTCTCTTGCTTGGTTCCTTAATTGTTCTGATGAGAAATTTGAGGAGCGGATGACATATGACACTATTGACATGGAAGAGATGGAAGTTGAGTCATCATTTGACATGAACTCTTTACTTGGTACTAGAACAGTGGTACCAATTTCTGCAATTTCTGCAAATAGGTACTTTGGTCTGCAATTTCTGGCTGGCTTGGCCTGTAATGGCTACATAGGAATTCTCCTATCTGTTTCAAATCCAGGAGTAACAGCAGGACTTCAAACCTTGCTTGGGTGTGTTGATGCTAACATGCAAGACCTTTTAAAGGCAGTAGAGAAATTCCTTGGTTTGCATTATCCGGATCAAGTTGCTCTTAAAAGATTATATATGGTTGGTGGTGCTACTTCTAGAATTTCAGCTCTTGTTGCTCAGCTAAAACAGAAGAATCAGCAAGCTTTGCCATTTTCTTATACTACTTGCTTGCTGCGAATTGCCAAATATCAATCCGAAGACTTTGTTTGGAAGCTTGGAACTTTGTTCGACATCCTTGAGGACAAGGATTGTTTAAGGGGGAGGCTCTGTCATGGAGTATGAAGAATAAACAGGAGGCGTGTTCCAGATTGCATTGAAGGCGCAGCTGCTCAACTTGATGAAGAAAGGCGTGACTTACAAATCACGCCTTCTACCTGATATAACAGAATTATACTTCTGTTTGGCGCAAGTGGAGCTGATGATTCCAGAACTTCCACGTGGCCTCACCTGATTAGCTAGTTTACAAGTTAGTTAGTCTGGAAATGCCATAAAAGGCTGAAGAATCCGAGAGTTAGCATAGATTTTTGTCATATTATTTCCATTGTTTGTAAAGTGGAATTGGCCCTGCCAACTTCCTCCTCTCTTCTCTCTTAATTCCTTCAATCTTTCCCTTTCAATCCTAAATCCGTTGATTCTGTTCCTGTATTTGACATACCTATTGTTAATGAGAAGTTGAAGCTCCAATAATCATCTCCATTCCCTGTTCCATTCAAATTCGTCAGGAGTTAATTCACTTCTGCTGCAACTAATCTGTCACCATTGCTGCTAATTGGTTCAATACCATAACATTCTTTTCAGACGTCACCCCTTTTCATTCTTCACTCAGCCGCCCCCGGATCCTGCTTCTTTGTTTCTGTTTTTCCTTTTGCCCGTAAGTTTTCCCAGCTTTTCCCTTCCGATCCTCTCAACCTTTCTTCTTTTGTTTTCCGAAACCCTCTCCCCTCCAAAAACTCCTCTTGCGGCTGCCATCTTCTTTGTCCTTTTATATCATCTCCCAATCCCCTAAAACCCTTCCTTGAATGGCGAGGATGAAGGCTAGCCTCTGCCTTCATCCTGCCCCTTCATGGCACGCATGAAAGTGCCCTTTGCAAGCTGCCAAAAATGCAGCTTGCAAACCGCGATCCCTTTTTTTTTTTTTTTTTTTTTAACTTAACAAATACAGAAATGATAAAATATAAAAAATAATTATAATAACAAATTGACAAAAACCGAGTAATAATAATAATAACAATAACGAAAATAATTTAAAAAACTAAACAACTAAAAACAACAAAAATAGCCATTTTTCCATCTTTTTTTGTTTCATTTTTCTTTTTCATAGTTTTTTTTCATTTTTCACCTTTTCTCTTTTTTCTAAATGAATCAAACAACAATAAAAGATAAATTAAGTAGAAATGGCTAAAATAAAGCTAAATAAAACAAAATTGCTATTTTTCTTTTCTTTTTCCCTTTTTTCCTTTTTTTATGATTTTTCCTTTTTCTTCTTTTTTTTTTTTCAAGAAATTCTATGCTAAAAACTTACAAATAAAAATAAAACTATAAACTAAAAACTAAAAATCGAATAAAACTAACACGACAAATAAAAAACTAAAAATAAACAGTAAATGAAATTACACCAAAAATTTGGTGTCTACAATTATATTGTTGCTTCTTAAGATTCTTATGCCAAGAATGACATCCGCCTCACCCATGTCTTTCTTATCAAATTTGCTTGAAAACAAAGTTTTGGTAACTTCAACTTACTCCAAGTCAGTCTCAAAAATTAACAGGTCATCCACATATAAACAAATTATGACACCTTTGCCATCATTAAACTTGCTATAAATACATTTATCAGATTCATTTATCTTGAATCCACTAGTAAGAATAATTTAGTCAAATTTCTGATGCCATTGCTTAGGTGTTTGTTTTATTCCATATAAAGACTTTACAAGTTTACACACCTTGTGCTCTTGACCAGGTACTACAAATTCTTCGGGTTGTTCAATATATATACTTTTTCATCCAAATCACTATTCAAATTTTAACGTCCATTTTGTCAATGACTAGATTTTGGATAGAAGTTGACGAGCGCGGGGTATACATATAGCAATAAACTCATTCACAATCAAGTTTTACATTTATAAAATTTTAAATACCCCACACGCGATTTTTTGTAAGTATACAAGTCGTTTATTGAGCATAAGGGGATTAAGTGTCGATCCTACAGGGAAGAGTATCAATTACCGATGGTTTTCAAACTCCTTTATTATTTAAACTATCACAAATACAAGAAATTAAATAGACACTATAAAAGTAACAAAAATACAATAGAAAGCTTCTAGAAATATGAAATTCCATACTACTCTTGCAAATGATATTACCGGTTAAGCAAATGTTATTATTTTGGCTAGTTAGGTATAATTTCCTAATGTATGAGAGACCTACTCTCGTAGTGAATCAACTATACTTGTAGCTAAACCATACCTACTATCATGGTTATGAAATTAACTATAAGTTCATTTTTTTTTCATTTCTTCTATGAAATTACATGAAACAAGTCACTTAAACCACATAGGTGCACCTCTACTCTTGTGAGTGTACTCCCTAGATTTATCACTTTATTGAACTAGTGTTAAATTCTAATTCTCATTGCAAACTTAACACCTTAATATTATCACAATTAATAGCCGGTTAATCATGATTAGAAAAGCGAAAGTGATAAATAACTTGCTCAAAATAATACTATCAAATAACCAAGTAAATATCACTAACAAAATGTAGCAAGTTCATTCATACTCTAGGCATAAACTTTAATTAAATATGAAGAACAAGATCCAAACTTGTATTATAGTTAAACATGAATTCAAATACAAAAAAAATGATAGGAGAAAAATCACCCTTGTCACATGAGTTTCAGACTCTCCATCTTTGCTCCTTAATCTTCATCCAAATCTAACTACAAATACAAGATGGATAAACTACACTACCTATACTATACTATAACTAATGAACTAAGGAAATTCTAGTGAAGACTATATTTTTGTAGAGTTTCTCCAGCCTTCCAAAGTTGTGTAAATGTCATCCAAAGGCTTCTCTTTATAGAGAAATTTCATGCAAAAGACAAAATGTTAAATCATATTAAGAATCCTTTTGAGCCTATAAACAAGCTAGATTTGAGTTGTAAATCTCCTTTTGCAGCTATCTTGGTTGTTTCCACCAATATTCTTATAGGAAAATGGGTCAAAAAGCTTGTGTGAATAAAACACAAGTTTTAGAGCAAGTTGCACCCGAAATTGAGGAATACCCGACCTTGGAATACGTGACTTCAAGCCACGTATTCAAGGGTCGCGTTTTCACTTCTGTGAATTTGGCACCAATTCAACTACTATTTTGTTGATGATGGAGGCTGAACTAACTCTTGTGCAAAACATAAAAGTTGTAACCCTTTGAGTTAGATTTCCAATGCCTCAAGAATCATTCCATTTGGAGCTTTGTAGACTGAGAAATAACCAACAACTAGTCAGAGCTCTGTTTCAGCTTTCGACCATAGAATTGCACTTATGTATTTTGACTTTTTGACAAGGAAAATGACTAAACTAGACTTCAATATCTTCATATCAAATGTAGATCTATCTCTTGCTTTAAAATGATTCAAGAATCACCTCAATCTGATGCTTGTAGCTCAAGATATAGCTGAAATACCATAAGGTATCAAAACTGTCTTAACTTGTATTTCTTCCTTTGAATGTTTTGCACTTCATGTCTTCTTTAAATCACTTCAAATCATCAATAATCATCTAATTATCTTCTCAAGTCACTCCATTAGATGATTGAATTATTAAACCTACAAAAACATGAAGTTTTCACCATTAAAATTCATAGAAATACAATTTTTATCATTGAAACCATAAAATGCATATTTTCACTAGAATCCTAGTTAATTAGCTATAAAACTAAATCAAACACACTAAAACTAACTAATAAAATGTGCTAAAAATACTTAAAATATGCACTTATCAGAAGTTATAGCAATTAGTACTCTAATTGTAACAATTTTGACAACTAGAGAATATGTGTCAAAAAAATCCACACCATACTTTTGTATAAACCCTTTGGCAACCAACCTGACTTGAACTTGTCAACAGTTCCATCAATCTTTATTTTTTTCTTGAACATCCTCTTACAACCAATTGGTTTTGAACTAGGTGGCAAGTTTACTAACTTTTAGGTTTTATTACCCATAATTGAATCCATCTTGTACGCGATAAAAATTTCAAGTCTGCAAAACGACAAGAAAAAGAAATACACGACAAATATGTAATATATAAATTTAGATAAATATGTGGGTATAATCTCTGGAAGTTTCTCTAACTTATGGAGAGTTTCCTTTGATTCTTCTCCTCGAACACCAATCCAAGGGCTTCGCAGCTTGTTCTTGGATCAACCACCGATTCTTTCAAATCTTGATATGAAAGATTTGAAGAACTTGAAAATATTTGAAGGCTCAAGCCTTGATATGCGGAAGACTTGAAGAGTTTGAAGACCCAGACCTTCGTAGCTTGAAACTTCAATACTTGAGTGTATGAGATGCTTCTTGATGTCTCTGTGTATGTCTGTATCCTTGATTTGGTTGAGAGGCCCCTATTTATAGCTATAGCAAGAGGTATAGGTTGAAGACCTGTGTACCACTTTACTTGTCTTGCAAGACGTGCAGTCATATTAGAACTGTACTAGTCAAATATTATCTCTTCATTTTATATTTATTAATAAAGAGATAAGTAATTTTCTGATTGGCCAAACTTGTGGGGACACGTGACGTGGAACCATTTGATTGGGCAAACTATTGCAGTATATAAGAGATATATATGGATTAAACAACTCTAAATATTATTTCTATTATCTCTTTAATAAGAAATAAATATTCAGATATTTATCCAAAAAATTCCGAATCATGTAGATATGATTTGGTTGGTGTAGATATCCCAGCAATTTCAACTGATTGGAACACCCCCAACTTGACACGTGGCAAAATACAATTGGCCGTTTAATAACCAATCTTTCCAAGTGTACATGACGCATGGCACTATTCCATTGGACAAAAATGAGCCATAAAAATAAATTATAGACCAATGGTAATTTTGGAATTTAATTAAAATTTTATTGTCTACAAATGCCCCCTCGAAACTTGTTTGTGAGTATTTAAAAGAAATTGATGGGATACTTGAACGAACAAGTTTCGACATTTTTTTCCCTAGTTTGAGCACCGTCGGAATATTAATCCTCAAATAAGTCAATAAATA